TGGTTGGAGATATTTACATTTTTCTTGGAGTCAGCCAAGATTTTCTCAGTGACCTCAGGAGATGCGAAGTTGGAAAAGGCAAGTCCTTATTAGAACTAGAACTTGCCTCAACACGGGCTTTTCCTCAATTGCAGCCAGAAGACGAGAGGGCCACTGCAAGGACTGAGTGGATGGATTTTGTGCACCTGCTCCATGCCCTTGGCCCAGCTCTACTTTCAGCTTCAGCGCTGGAGGACAGCTCCCACGGACACAGGCAGCATTCTACCTCAAGTACCTGCTCTGTATCTCCACTTTCACACCTCAGTATGTTTTTCTGAAGGCACAGGGCAGCCTGGGAGAGCAGAGAAGTTAACAAACTCTGAGGCAACTCTCAATGGATAGGAGATGGGGGCCAGTGAACGAAGACCCCAGCTTCCTGCCCCTCAGAGGGACAATTCTGAGGTGCAATGCTGCTCCTGAAAGGGTCACCTATAGGGTTGAGCCCCAGGTCCCCACAGCATTAACCAGCTCAGAGCTACTCTTTAGTGATGGTTACTTTTTTCCTGTCTCACTCCCACTACCCCCTTACTCTTACTTCCGGGGATTACGTCCCGAGTAAGCTCCCTGCATCCAAGTCCTCAGATATTGCATTTGAGGGGACCCAAATTCAGACACTCGATGACCTTGAGTGTCAGATGTTTGGAGTACTAAACATTGGCAAGTGGAAATATAGCTGATTTCTTTCTCCCATTATCTTGTTTCTGCTCATCCACAGTTAAGGGACTATAAGTGTCAAACTCAGAGGAAGCAAGAAAGTAGGTGGTAGAAGGCCAACCCCAGTGACCTAATGGTTAAGTTTGGCACACTCAGCTTCAGCGGCCTGGATTCAGTGCCAGGGCACGGACCTACGTCACTCATCTGTCAGTGGCCATGCTGTGGCAGCAGCTCAGCTACAAAAAAAGAGGAAGATTGGCAGTGGCAATGGATGTTAGCTCAGGGTGAATCTCCCTCAGCAAAAAAAAAAAAAAAAAAAAAAAGGTAGATGGTAGAAAGAGATTTTAATGCTACCTTTAGAGTAGCTAGAGGAATTAAAAAGTAGGAAAGGCAAGATCTGGGGCAAAAGCATATGATAGAGATCATCACTTTTATTTGAATTCTGGAGTAAGTGCTAGCAGCAGCAGTGCTGAGACTTTGCCAACCATGGGAAATATTAAATTTTAGATCTTTGCCAGTCATATGAGGTTAAGAATAATGTTACCATATTTATTGTTTTAATTCATGTCTTTAATAATTATAAATGGAGTAGAGCATTTTCCCTTGCATTTATTAATTATTGTTATTTTTTTCTGTAAGCCGGATATTCCACAAATTATTTAACAAATTACGTCGATGATAGATATTCAGGTCAATCTTTCTTTTTAACTATTGTAAGAAATGCTACAATATGGATATGAAAAAATATTCAATCTTCCTCTTAACTGGAGTTCAGCAAATTGAAAGAACAATGTCATTTTTCCTATACATTTTTGGTGTAAATATTGAAATGTTTGGTAATACCCCATGTATACAGTTTTTGCAGGGAAATTGGCACTGAGATTGACAATGCCAATTGATACGTTGTTTTAAAGGACATGTGAACAGGGGCTGGCCCCGTGGCCAAGTGGTTAAGTCCGCGCGCTCCCCTGCCGGTGGCCCAGTGTTTCATTGATTCGAATCCTGGGCGTGGACATGGCACTGCTCATCAAACCACGCTGAGGCAGCATCCACATGCCACAACTAGAAGGACCCACAATGAAGAGTATACAACTACGTACCAGGGGGCTTTGGGGAGAAAAAGGATAAAATAAAATTTTTAAAGGACATGTGAACAATTTCTACCCAAATTTAAGACGTGCCTATCCGTTATTGCAGCATTTCAAGAAAATTTGTCCTGCAAATATACTCTCATGAGGTCCTAAATATTATGCTTTATTGAGTGTTTGTATGTATGTAGGTGTGTTTGGGTGTATGTGTGCATGCATGCTAGTCCATACGTGAAGAAAAGACTAGCCAAGATGGAGTAATAATAAAGATTTCTGGCTCCTTCCCGAACCTAATCCTGGAGATGCTGCAGAGAGAGAGAGAGAGAGAGAGAAATTCATGGATCCTAGAACCTAACTACAACTACAGAAGTAGTTTGGAGAGAGAGAAAGGGGTTGAGTGTTTGCATGAAAGGGAAAGAGAGGTCCACGTGCCACAGATGACAGATAGGCTGGGTGAGAACTTTAGAGTTGGCCCCTCTCTGCTGTTGCAGGGCAAGGAAACAACACTTCAGCCCAGCGCTGGTCTGAGGCAGTTGGAATAATAGCAAGGTAGGGCTGGAATTCTGTGGGGGTTGGTGAGCTGATGACAAGAACTGCAGGTGAGCTGGCTGGCCTCTAGACAATCCCAATAGAGGGGGCTAGCCCATGGAGAGTGGCATTGCCTGCAGCCTAGAATCTGGTCCATGCTCAGAAGAGGAGAGGGAAAGGGGTGCAAAAGGAAGTGACTGTGAACAAATTGTTGCCGAGGCTCTCTGACCTGGAGATCCTCTCCACAACCCACTTTACCAGGAGAAGTACAACCAAGGTCAAGGATTGTGCACCGACTCCGTCTACTCCCTGACTTTACTCATCACAGCCAAGATATCTCATGGTTTCAAAGGAATATGAGTTCACAGGAAAAAATAACAGGACACCAAATTAAATAACCCATGCCAGAAGAGGTAGAAATAACAGATTGGACAGAATTTTAAAAAATTAAAATAAGGAAAACAAATACCCTGAGAGAAACAAGCAAAGATCTTCGGAATATAAAATAAGAATAAGAAGTTTTGAAGGACCATTTGGAGATTTGGGGCATGAAAAATGTATTGTAAAAAATGAAAAACACGCTGTCAATAGGTAAGTTGCGCAGCAGAATGAATAGAGCTAAAGAACAAATTAGTGAACTGAAGGATTCCATCAAGGAACTCTCCCAGAAAGCATTTGGGAGGGATAAATCTTTGGAAGAAAAGAGAAAAGTTAGTATTAGAATTCTAGGAGGAGTCTCAGATGGAGAAAAAGAGTAAATGGGGAATAGGCAGTAATTTGCCAGAATTAAAATGGGAGATGGTGTTTAGCCAAACGGTCTGGACCCTTGGAGCCCCAAGTTTCTGAGCTGTCACCAAGAGACTCTAATCCAAAGAGGCACCCAGGTGACAGCGGGATTCCTGAAGATATTCAAACACGGTAATTTATTATTATTTATCTACAAGAAACAAACTGTCTTTTGACCTTTCTATTCCTGCAGGGCTAGTTCTGAGCTATTGTAATAGTTTTCAGCACAGAAGAAGAATGCAGAAGGTGTAGCAATTTCCAATTGGATTCCTTCTGGTCTGATTTTGATGGATAAAGGGGTGCAAATGAGACACAAGACCCTTGTTAAGCACTATTCCCCTTGATCACCCTGTTCAGACACCAAGAATCTGGGCAGCAGCTGCAGACTTTAACTCTTTTGTTCCCTTGTGCAATTTCCTTCTGGGCTCTTTTCCTCTTTTCTTATCTGCTTTCTTTGCTCTTCTTGATTTTGCCACATTCTTTCTTCTTTTTTCTTATGACCTCTCCTGCTGCTTCTTTCTGTATTCTTCTCTTTCATCATTGCCACTTTCCCTTCTTCTTCACTATTTCCAAATTTATTCATTGATACATCCATCTATTCAACAATTATTTTGGGTACCTACCATGTTCTAGGCACTATTGAAGGCACTGGGGACACAGTGAAGAAGATAGAAGAAAGATACCTGAACCCACTCTAGTGAGAGGACAGATAATAAGCAAGTCAATGAACAAAAAGAAAAAAGAAAAACCTAGATACTAATAAATGCAATGAAGATAGTAGTGTGTGTTAGAGAGTTATGGTGGGGGGGGGCGGTGGGAGTGGGCAGGGATGCTTTAGATGGGAAGAGAGGTGTCAGGGTAAGTCTTTCTGAGGAGGTGACAGTTGAATTGAGATCTGAATGATAAGGAACAGTAAACTCTGTGAGATCTGGTGGACAAACATTCCAGGTAGGCGGAAAAGCACATGCAAATGCCCTGATGTTGGAATGGTACATTCTTCTACCTCCTCTTCTTTTTTTTTTCTTCCCATATCTCATCTCCAGTAAATTCCAGAATAAATATCTACACATTTATCATGTAGGAAGCATGTCCTCACAATCTTAATTCCCTGTGGCCTGGTTTCTGCTCCCAGTACTTTCTTGAAACTGTTTTCTTGCTTGCTTGAAATTGTCCTCCTGATGACCACCAGCGCCATCCTAGGTGTGACAGTGGTCTCAGAATAAAGAAAAAGAAACAGAGAGCATGTTGGTTTCTGGTCCCTTTGTCCAGCAGTTGGACATCTGTAGCTCAGCCTCATACTGTTTGGGAGCAGGTCTTTATTAGTGTAGGGAGTGTAGGAGAAACTCTTAGGAGACATGAAAGCCCACGTAGACCTCTGTAAACTGGATTAGGTGCCTATCTTCTGTGTTTCTCTAGTCCCTATCATAACCCCCATATCAAGACTTTGATCTTCAGAAGGCTGCCTATTTCTTGTTATTCAGGCTGCGATAGATTGAATTATTGGGCCTATATTCTCATCTCCCTTGTAATAGTATTATTCATCTATTTGTCGTGGCCTCATGCTGGGTGGAGTGCTCTTTCCTGCTTCTTGACCTTGTTACCCTGGCAACTGGGATCTTAGTGGACATCATGCAGGCAGAAGCTTGGAATGTGCTTATGTAGTTGGGCTGTCCTTCTGAATTCCTGTCATTACTATAGGATAAAAATGCCCTAGGAGTCTAGTTCATCCTGGAAAAAAGAGAGACAAGTTCAGCACCTGACTCCAACCCAGCCTAGATTAGTCAGAACCCAGCTGATCCCACAGATGTGTGGGCAAGAAATTAATATGAATATAACATAAACATAACTCAATAAATACTCACGGAATAAATACATATTGCCTATGCCATAATTATTTATTCATAGGTCTGTCTGTGAGCTCTGTGGGGCCAGGGCCAGTAGCACTTCTGCACTTGAAGGGCCATCTGTGATCCAGGTAAGTAGTGGGCACTCTGAATACTTTTTGGAATAGGTCTGAACTTCCTCAGGAGTCTCTCTAGCAGCCTTAGTGCTCATGCATTTCATATTCAGCCAAGAGTCAAGGCAGACTCTTACTGAATTCCTAAGGATTTCAGAGTTTGATCCCTTGGGTCCTGATTTTATGGCCTTTTTCTGTGTCATGAATTCTTAAGTGTATTCTGTGCTTTGAGTGGCCATCGGGGAGGGCTACAAGGCTAGACAATCTCCCAGCTACTAGGCACCCAGGACATGCTGCAGAATGATCTGAGTTTTGCATGGTGATGAGGGGCAATTTGACATCTACTCATTCTGGAGGATGAGATGGATGGATACATTCCCACTTATTGTCAATGACAACAGAAATGCTGCTTGATCTACAGGTCCCCAGGGCCATCCTGTTGTGCATTAAAGTGTCTGTGTCGAACTTTCCTTTTTCTGAGTGTCTCGGCTCCAGCCTTGAGGATTTAAAAGAGGAATTGATCCACATTGACTTTGTTGGGCAAACAAAGCTTTGGGTGATGATTCTAAAGTAGGATGTCTGTATAGAGAAAGCTAAGACCTACCTGTGTGAGGTGGAAATCCTTTGTTTTTCTGTCCGACATCTTTCCTCTTTTCTCTTGGTAACAGCACCCTACTTTTTCTTTGGGAAAATTACCTTTTCCCCACTGGATACTGTATTGGTGGAGCCGTCAAATATGGTACTTGTCTTAATTTGGATTTCTACCCAAATAGACCCTGGGTCAAGGGCTTGAGTGCAGGTAGTTTATTCGGGAGGTGATTATAGAAAGCACCAGTGAGACTAGGAAAGGTACGTAAACTGATATAAGGTGTACTAATGAGTGGGTTCCCACTGTGGGCAATGAGCAGCAATCCTGCTTGAGAGCCCGCTAAAAAGATACTTGGGACATGTCTCTGGATCATCCCACTGGACCCTGGGAGGTGGGGAACTTTTATGCTGAGCTCTATTCCTGTTGTTTGAGAGTACAAGAAATTCGGGATCTTGAGATGAGAAGTTGTTAGTGGGCTGGCAATTGCTTACCAGAATTACAGGCAAACTCAGGTGAGCAAGAAGGTGTGAGAGATCATCAGCAGCTTCTTAGAACCACTGCCTCCTCTGGCCACAGAGTGGGCACGAACCCCAGGCTGGTCCAATCAGACTTCTCTTTCTGGAATTTTGAGGAGTACAACATAGGAGATGGGAAATGACTGGAATCTGTTCATCTCCGTGGTGGGGTCCAGAAGAGACTGGCCACTAGTTCTTGACACCCATTTACCCAGAGTGGTTCCAGTTCCCATTCTCTCTGGTTGTTCAGTTTTTCTTGCAATTCTATGAGCTTCTCCATAAACCTTTCTAATAAATTCCCTTTTTATTAAATTAGTTAGAACTGCTTTCTGTGGCTTGCATACAGAACATCCTGACAGATGCTGGGTCTACTCCATGGGAGGTTGTCAGAAGAAGCAGCTGTTTGCATGGCTTGAAATGCTTTAGACTCTCAGCAGGACATCAGGCTGTGGGACAATTTTTGCTCGAGTTTGCTGAGGACCTCAAGATCCAGCCCTCATCCTTGGCTCATACTTCAGCTAGCCTGTTTTCCCCAAATCACTCTACATATCATCTTCAGCTAATCATCAGTCTCTGGTATTGCTTTTGGATAGACTTTTGATATAGTATGGTATGGTGTGGTGAGATGTGGTACGGAATGGTGTAGTAGGATGTGGTATGGAATGGCATGGTATGATGTGGTATGGAATGGCGTGGTATGATGTGGTATGGAATGGTGTGGTACGGTATAGTATATGATAGTAGAGCATAGTATGGCATAGAGGCTAAGCATATGGATGCTGGAGCCAGACTACACAATTCAAACCCCAGCTCTGCCATTTACTGACTCTATGATCCCCAGCAAATTACTTAATCTCTCTGTGACTTAGTTTCTTTAGCTTTACATGTGCATCATAATAGTACCTAGATTATATGGTTGTTGTAAAGATTAAATGGGTTGACAAAGCACCTGGCACAGGGTAAGTACTATGTAAATTTTAGCTATTATTATGCCTAAAGGCTGTATGCCTTTTAGGCCCACAGGGCCCTGCATTTTTTCGGAGTCACAACTGTGCTTGCTTAACCTTGTGAAAAGCATGGTTGGCAAGACTGGCTGCCCTCCCTTGAGCTTGGCTCAATGTTTGCATTAGACAAAAGGGAAAAGCACATTTTATAATCAACTACTATGTGCCAGGCATCATGACAGACATCTTTTTGAAGATCATAACAGCATTTATGAGAGACAGATATTATTATTATGACTTTACAGTGAGAGAGCCAGAGCTCAGAGAGGTTAAGCAACTTGACCTAGGTCACTCAGCTAGTAAAAGGCAGAACTGCCATTCTCCCAGGTCTGTCTGATGCCAGAGCCTGCTGTTTCCACTGTGTACATGGCTTCCCCAAAGCCCCAAAGTGAGTGACTCCCCTTCTCTCCCTACTGGCCTTGCACAGTTACTGTCCTCCCTGTTACATTCCAAAGTTGTGGTCTTGACATTAGGGCTGCTGGGTACACCCCTGAGCAGCAGTAGGCCCTTATTCCCACTCCTTTTGCTCTGTCACTCATTCATGAAGCTTTTTACTTTCTTTCTTTCTTTTTGCTCAGCCTGTGTAGAAGATCAAAAACAACACTCCATAAGGACAGCTTGGCATCTGACTTGGCGCTGATGAAGGACGAGTACAACTTGGTGGTTAAGCCTGTGGGCTCTGTGAGGACCACCGGGGTCCAAATTATTGCTTTGCACCTTCCTTGACGTGCATCTTTGGGTGTGTTACATTATCCCTCCAAGCCCTGGTCCCCTCATCTGCAAACAAGGCATGGAAATGCTAATAGTTAACTTTTAGAGTGTCTGTACATGTTAAGGAAAATAAGTATTGGGAGGAAAATATTTGAAATATTTTTTCAAAACTTGGATAGAGGATGACTTTCCAATCAAAGCAGACTGTAAACCCAGAACCCACAAAGAAAAAGATAAATGCGCGTGATACGTTGAAAAAAACAAACACCAAACGTATGGCCAAAGAACAAAACAAAATAAAAAACCAAACTGTAAACTGGGGAATTTTTTTGTAACACATATGATAGAAAAAGTAGTAATATTCCTAAGATGCAAAAACCTCCCATAAACTGAGCAGAAACAGATAAACCACTCAATAGAAAAATGGACAAATGCTTGAGTAGGCTCCTCACCAAAGAGGGGATCCAAATGGTCAGTGGGCATCCAAAAGGATGCTCACGGACATGCAAATCGAAGCTAAAATGAGACACCATTTTTTTTAACCCATTAGATTGGGAAAAAAACTGAAAAAGAGAAAATATCGGAAACTGACAAAAATGTGAGGAAGGAAACCCTCTCATATATGTCTGGTGGGGATATGAAATGTGACAACAAGTAGTACTGGAAACAATTTAAATACGTGTTAAAAATAAACTACACACAGTTTTTTACCTAGCAACCTTACATTTAAGAATCATCTTATGTAAATAAAACCATCTCTATAGTAGGATATATGTTCAAGGATGTTTATTACCTTATTTCTTTGGGGAAAAATTGGAAACCAGCCTGAATGTTCCTCAACATAAGACTTGTTGGATAAATTGTTCTATACTTACTAAGGAATATATTACAGTCATTGAAAAGAGTAAGTATAAACTGTGGTACATCCATTCAATGGAATACTACTCAGCGACAAAAAGTCAACTACTGATGTACACACCAACTTGGATGAATCTCAAAGGCACTATGCTGAGTGACAGAAGCCAATCTCAAAAGGTTACATACTGTGTGATTTATATAATAGTCTCCAAATGGCACAACTATAATGTTGGAAAACAAATTAGTGGTTGCCAGGGGTTGGGGTGGGGGGAGGGTGTGGCTACAAAGGAGTACAAGGGGACATTTTGATGTAAATGCTGCATATCCTTATTGTGGTGGTGGTATTATGAATGTAGACGTGCACTAAAGTTCATAGAACTGCCTTATCCTAAAAGGGTCAATTTACTGTGTAATAATTTGTGTTAAAAAATTGACAAAAATAGCAAAAATAAGTTATATCTGGGTTTATTGAACTTGAGGGGTCTCCATGATATATTTACGGGGAAAAAAGTTGTAAAACAAGATGTATAGTATGATTCTATTTTTATAAAAACAAATACCCCCAAGGCCTTTTCTACATACGATTACGTGTTCGTGTATGTTTCTAGGAGTATGAGGAAGCGGTGGAAAATCACATCAGGCTGTGACGTTGATTATCTCAGGAAGGCAAGACTAGAAGGGGAACATTAAGGGGCATTTCTTTACACATCTTTGCATTAATTCACTGGTTATATTGAGTAAATCCTACATTTTAAATTAAAACAAGAAAACCAAACAAAAATAATAAAGGAAAATTAAGGAAGTAGAAGAAAACCATAAAGAAGGCTAACAGGAAAGAAAAAGAGAAAGGTCAGACAAGGAACAGGCTGGAAGAAAAATGACTTTGGAACTCAGTACCAATCAGATTCCCAAATCAGAAATGGATGAGTGTTGCTGGAGCAGGAAAAGCATTCAGGATCTGGGGCCAGGGACAAGCAGTCTTTCGAGGGTTAAGACTTGGGCTCATTTCTAGGTCTCTAGCCAGCTTCTTTGGCTCTCCTTTGTTTCTCTCATCTGTCTGTTTGCTCATCCATGCATCCACGCATCCATCCATCACCCATCACCATTTGCTAAAGGCCCACTATGTTTTAATGTAAAAAATTTCTTATCCTCTATCCCTCCTCAAAGTCATAATAAAATTCAAAGTATCTTCCAAATTTTTGTGTGCTTGTCTTTAAAGATTACAATAAATGGAGGCAGTGAGATCCTTTTCTCAGCTTTTATTTCTGAGATTGTCTCATGGACCACTCCTCTTGCATATGTGGCTGTGACAACTCTACCTAGGAGAAACTAGTATCTATTCAGGCTTCTGGGTCTCTGAATTGGGCATCTGGGAATCCCAAGATTTGGTGTAAGACTTTGAAGTGAGTCGCTCTCCTACCTTAGGAGCATCCAGAGCTTCTTCTCACAATTCCCTGATGTGATCGATTAGAGAGATGAGATGTTTCCCACTCTATGATAAGAACAGAGTTCTGGAACCAAACTGCCTGGGTTCAACCCAGCTCTGCCATTCACTGACTACGTGCCTTGGGCAAGTTTGATCATACCACTAGGGACCTCAGTTTTCTCATCTACAAATCAAGGATGATGAAAAACACTTTGAAACAGTGTCTGCCCATAGTATGCCTTGTCACCAGTATTATTATTGTTGTTGTTGTTATTTCTGTGGCGCTAGGTTGTATTGATTAGATGAGAAGTCCATTGTATTGTTTTGAATAACAGAAGACACTGAACAACATTTAAGACATATGTTACAACTGTGTGTGTGTGTGTAGCCGTAAGTGTCCATGTTTGTATGTATATATGTATGCACATTTGAAAAAGCACGAAGAAAAGTCTGGAAGACCATTCTTCAAACTGTTAACAGTGGTAACTTCTTGGAGAGTGACTTTGGGAGAGGACTAAAAGGGAACATTTCCTTATTATTTTATATTCTTTTGCATTATTAGATTTACCAGTGACATTATTTTTGTAATTTAAAAATAAAAACAAACCAAAAGAATCAAGAGACTTTAAAATGGAGATAAGACCAATTAGGGAATCTCTTTCCATCTTCTATTGCACAAAACTTACTATTTTTCTGTCATTGGTTGTATGAGATTCACAAAGCCAGCCATAAAAAGCATACATTTTTCTCTAATATTAAAGCAATTCCTGGGATTGTTGATCCTAATGTGAAAGTGAGATTTGTCTGATATAGATCCATGAGGTCAGTCTCATAAATCACCCTGCTGGCGCTGCATTAGAAATTCAAAGTCTGGAGATGCAACTCTCAATGTGTCTACGGCTCCCCAGGCACCACTAGTCCTGATCCCCTTTGCCCACAGCATTGATGGGCTAAGCTTACAGAATTTGGAGCTGGACATTGCTCTCCATTTGTCTCTCTCTTCTGCTTTAGATCTGCTCCTCTGTCTTAGTCTACCTGAGGAGTCCAGAGATAACTTACTGCAACAGAGAACACAGTCAGAAATTTACTTTGGTTATGCTGGAAAAGCTGTAAAACATATATCGTTGTGTATTAAGCAAAATGATATAGAAGGCTGGGGTATCTACAGCAATGGTGGGTGAATTCTCAGGCAAGACCTCAAAGTGACAGAAACTATTTTGTCTATTCCCCTAGAATGTGATCCCTTTAGAGACAGGCTCACATTATCTAGACACACCAAGACTAATTTCCAAACCAAATTTGTACTCACTATTACAATGAAGGCGGCTAAACCATGGCAATGGTAAGAATTCTCAGGTCTAATCTTTAGGATGCCCTTTCAACATGACTTCAAAATGAGACAGACTCAGGGTCAAATCAGAGCTCCACCATCAGCTATATGACCAGAAGCATGTTGATAAAACTCTCTCAAGCTCATTTTGTCATCTGGATAATGGAGATAGTACTACTTTAGATTGGATCCTTGGAAACAAGCTCTGAGATGGGGAGTTGTAAGCAGAGGCTTACTGGGGAGATACATACACTTTGTAAGAAGGAGAGAATTGCAGAATTGGGCAGAGAGGTAAGCTGACCCGCAATGTAGCTGCGGCTGAGACATCTGGAACTCGGATGGGAACTCTGAAGCTAAGACGGCCCTACAGAGTTGTCCCAAATTAAGAGAGAGGAGCTGAGCCTTTGAACCCTTCAGTCAATCATTGGCCAAATGCCATGCCCAGGGAAGGTGTGTAACCTTGGGTGATGTAGTCTGCTATAACTGAGGACAGTTCCTAGTGAGAGGTACAGCTGTGCGCCTCTAGCAGCCTATATGCCCAGCTGGGCTGCACTGGCTTTGAAGAGGGGATCTTGGCGATGCTCCCTGGTATCGGCTACAAGTACATACTCCAGGGTTGTGGGTGATTATAAAAGTGCTTAGCATAGTGCCAGCCACACCACAGGGCATCTACAAATATTAGTTCCTTTCCTTTCCTTCCCTCTCGAGAAATATTTCTCAATGACTTTGAAAGAATATGGCGATGTTTTTCCTGTTCTGTTCTAAATTGGACCTTTCCAGTGGCCAAAACCCCTGCAGCCACCAGAAATATCTCTTTGCCTCGGGGAGTACAAAACAAACACTAACAAAACCTTAATCTCTAATTTACTTCATCTGTCACGAAAGGACCCAAAACCTCTTGACAGGTAAACAACTAGGGGAAGGTTTGCTCTTATTGTCAGCTACATACTGCCCTTTTTTTGGGTATTTTTTTCTTATTGGAGATTTTGGAGATCCCTTCATCCTCTGGGCTGAAATATTACCCAGGTACTTGAAGCTGAGTGAGGAAGGACATTTTTAGCATATGACTAAGGTAATTCATTAGACACTGGTTCTTTTTAATTGGCTTCAGTAGCAGAGGGTCACCTTTTCTTGACTTTGAACTCAAATTTCCCCTTGTCAGAAATCCTGTATACTTACTATCCAGCCCAAATATGCTCAGGAGGATTTTCCATTCTGGTTTCTTGTTTTGTGTTCTCTCTCTTCTCATAGTACTAAGTAGCATCCAGAATAGGACAGGGGCAGGACAGGAAGGAGAGATAAGAGGGCATCCATCATTATTGCAATTGTTTGGTAGGTGGGATCCTCTAGGGGAGGGACAGAAGTCTTTGGGTATTCACTGTAAAAATCAGTGCCCAGGTCTCTGGGTCAATGAGTGAAGTGGCTGAAGCAGAGTCATCAAAAGAGCCAAAGTTTTTAATCGGAGGAATCCATATAGTGATTAAGATTCTGTTGGCTGAAGAGTAATTAAAACCAACTCAAGATAGCTTAAAGAAGAAAATTTATTTTTACGATTACAGTGGTGTTTCACAAAACCCAAGGGCATGGGTGCGGCCAATCTCAGAAATGAACTGTAGTCAGGAAACCCAAGCAGACCTCTCTCTCATTTACTCACTTCTGTATCTCTCTGTATATATGCTCTGCGGTGGTTTTGAAAGTATGTTCTCAAATTCTTTGACAGTTCTTTCCTCAAAAGCGGAGCCTAATTCCCCTCTCATTGAGTGTCGGTTGGACTTGGTGGCACTTTTAATGAGTAGAACGTGGCAGAATGATGGTTTGTGACTTCAGAGCTGAGGACATAGAAAATATTGTGGCTTCCTCCCTGTTCTCTTTCTTGGACCACTTGTTCTGGGGAAGCCATGTCATGAGGATGCTTAAATGACCTTGTGAAGAGATCCATGTGGTGAGGAGCTGAGGCCTCTTGCCAACATCCACGTGAGCGTGCCATCTTGGAAGTGGATTCTTCAGCCCCAATCAAACCTTCAGATGCAGGTGCAGTCAACATCCTGACTGCAACCTCATGAGAGACCCTGAGCCAAAACCATGCAGGTAAGCCCCTTCTGAATCCTTGATCCCCAGAAACCTTGAGATAACACGTTTACTGTTTAATCCACTAAGTTTTGATTGAATATTTTACACAGCAATGGATAACAACTACAGGACTGAAAATAACCACTACCAATTGCTCTCTTCCATTCAGAGAGCAGTTATCAGAGAGAGAGGAGTCTTAGTCTTATTTCTAATTTCCAAGAAGAAAGATTCTGATTGACACAATTGGGTCAAGTGCTCAGATATGAACCAATAAATTGTGATTATATCATGGGCAGCATCATATTAGATTTACATGGGGACTTTTATTGTAACCATGTAAATGTGAAGTATTTTAATAAGGAATACCTGGGATACCCCAAAGCAAATTCCACATTGGGACAGGACTTTATTTCTTTGGTCACCAGAGTGTCTCCTAAGGTAGTTGAAGCTTACTTTGGTTATAATACAATGATTTGAACTTAGGTGTCAGTGCCATGTATGAAATACAAGTATGCGATTGGCTTTTAGCTGTATGTTTTCAAAGACTGGTGGGTTATCTGTACTTTGGCAGCCTACCCCCTGTATGCCTGGCTACCCTTGATGTGTTTGTGCAACCCCAGCCCTGCCTTCCTGGCCACTTTCAAGTTGCTGAACATTTTCCAAAATTTTCTTCTGATAACTGCAGTAAATCCTTTTCAGAACTCTTCCATACCTCTTACAATATATGGAAAAAACCTAGTTCACCTCACTTTTACAGAAACAAAACTGCTAGAATTTCTCTCTCTCCAAATATGTCTATGGGAGAAAGTAAATACAGTAAGTCTTTATGTTTTCTGATTCATAAGTCAGGTTAAGCCACTTAAAACAAGATGTTATGTCAAGTCAATGAGGTCATAGGGAGTGAGTTAATTATTATAATGCTGATACATACATTGCAACATCTGGTTGAATAAACTTTTTGCATAACAAACATTACAACAAAAAATTTTCCCAAGGTAAACCTAGGCATAGCCTTAGGATTGGGGGTTACATTTGGAAGAAGAGAACCCCTTTGAAATGATGATGTCTCAGGGGAACTTCTAATAAAATAGTCAGTATACAATTCATGATCATAAGGTGTAGAACAAGTATAAATCTGTTAAGAATGGAACTTCACTGCTTTTCATTTTAATATCTATATTTTTAGAATCTCCACGGTAAATGTCTTCTAAGTATTCTCCACATCTAACCCTTTCCTAACGGTATGTAAGGCTCAGCGCTTTGTCTTCTCAACTGTGTATGCCGACAGTCTTCCCAATCCTTCCAAATTTCCTCATTTAATTGTCAATTAAGGCTTAGAGGCTCTATTGTCAGCTTAGAAC